CCACCCGCTCCTCATCCTCACTGTTCACACCTGGGGCTGATCTGTCCCCTCATCAACCTCACTGCTCACACGTGGGGCTGCTCTGAGCCCTCATCATCCTCACAGTTCAGTTTGTGCTGTTGCCACCCCAAGAGCCAGGGCAGGGGCAGAAGGAACTTGTTGCTCATTCCCTGGACAGCTCATTGTCTGCACCTGACACACTGGGGCACCATCCTTGCTATGGATGAGGACACCTCTCCTTCTCCAGGTGCCCAAGGCTGAAAATGGAATTCCACCTCCACAATTCCATGTGTCTGAGTTTCATAATTCCCAGTGCAATTCCCCATGAATCACAAGCCATCACCTCTAATTTTATCTCTAGAATCACTGCTGACGTGCTTTTCTGTGGAAGTGTTTGACACATTGATGCAGAGTTCAGGGGCTCGTTTATGGCTTATCCTGACGAGCACAAATGAAATCCAAACACCCAGACTTACAGGGAAATATGGATAAAGTTTATAAATACTCCTCTTCCCTGCAACTCCCTGGCATTGTCCTCCAACTTGTGACCCTTCACCTTTGACCCTGACCATTGACCTTTTACTCTTAACCTCTGAATTTTGACCTTTGACTCTTGATTTCTGCTCTTTGAAGTTTGTTTCCCTGATAATTGACTTTGGACCACACAACCTTGGAAAATTAACCCATAACATTGGACCTTGGACCCTTTACTCTTGATCTTTGAACCCTGACCATTCACATGTGACCCTTGAAGTTTGAATCCCTGACTTTTCACTTTAACCATTGACCCCTGAGCTTTTGCCCTTGACCTCAGCCCTTTGACCCTGCCCAAACATCAATATCACTGACCTACAGTGATTTCAGCATATGAATGCTACCATAGTTATCTCACCCAGCCGTGTCAATCCCACTATGTCTCTATCCCAGCCCCACAGTGATTATAGCTCCAATCCTAGTGACCCCTTCCCTGCCCCAGTGATTTCAGCTCTTGGCCCACAAGCTTTATTTCACTGCAAGTTCCCTTCTTCCAGCTCTGGATGCGTGTTTCTCCAAGTCTGCTGGCTGAAAACTCTCCAGGTTCAAGGAGCAGGATCTTCCTCTTGCCTCCAGCTCTGCAACATTTCAGCTCCCGCCCTAGGGGCTATAAGCCCACCCCACAGTCAATATCCCAACCCCACAGTGATTTCCTTTCCAGCCCTACTACAGTGGCTATCACAGACGCGGGTGATATCCCGGCATTGCCAGCAGTTTAGGTCCAATGTTACAGTCCCCTTTTTTGGCCCTACCCATCTTGTTCCATTTCCAGTCACAGGACCCAGCCCCAACATCCATATCACAGGCCTACAGTGATTCCAGCACACAGATCCTACAGTGGCAATCCCATTATCAGTCCCTATCCCAGCCCCACAGTGATTTCAGCTCCAGCCCTAGAATGCCTTGCCCTACCCCAGTGATTTCAGCTCTTGACCCACAAGCTTTATTTCACTGCAAGCTCTCTTCTTCCAGCTCCACATCTGCTTCCTTTTCCCCTGCTCCGCTAGGTGAAGCTGCTCCAGGTTGAGACAAAAGGGTCTTTGTTTTGGTTCCAGCTCTGAGGTTTCACCTCCACGCCGAGAAATGCCACTCCAACCCCATCCCAACCCCAAAGCAATCTTTACTGTATTTGCAGCCCTTCTCATTGTGTACCATTCTATGGTTGCTTCCCACATCTACAGTCACTATCCCCTCAGAACAGCGTTTGCAGCTGCAGCACTGCAGTCCCCACCCCAGCCCCAGTGATTTCAGCTTCAGTCTCACAAGCTTTATTTGACTGCCAGCTCTTGTGCTGCACTTCTGCCTCCTCATCTTCCCAGCAGTGCCACATCGTGCTGCTTTCTAGTTCTCCAGGCAGGATCTCTGTTTTAGCTCTAGCTCTCTGTGGTTTGAGCTTAGCTCTTGAACCCACATTCCAGCCCCAGCCTGACCATCCTTACTGGAGGAACAGCTCTGCAAGGCCCTAGCCCAGCCCTCACGGTGATTTCAGCTCCAGCCACACAGTTCACATCCCAGCTCCATATTCCTTATCCCAGCCCCACAACAGTTTTACCCTAAACCCTACCATGTTTCTGTCTGCTCCAGCTCTGCTTCCTCAGTTCCAGCTCCTCAGCTTCCCACTGCCAGTGGCTAAAAGCTGCTCCTGCTTCTCACTGCAGCCCGGGGCCGTTGATAAGGCCACAAATCAGTTATCATCATCACATCAATCTAGGAGTTGTCCTACCCACCCTAATGGGAGCCCAACTTTGGGGACACTTGAGGCCTCAAGCCCAACAGGTACCTTCCCCCTCCCCCTGGCTCTCAGTCCAGCATTTGTCTGGGGCTGCAGCACACTTCAGGGATAGGCAGAGAAGGGAGGCAAAAGTTGGCAGAGAGCGCTTTCTGTTCCCTTCAGTCCCAGCATCTGTGCTTATGGTTTCAGGGTACTTGATTGATTCATTCCTAGATAAAAACGTTATGGCATTATTTTCAAAACTACTACCCCTCTCTAGTCAGTTTCCTGCATTCCTGTGTACAATAGAAGGGACAGAGAGGATTTCTTCCCAAAGGAATTTAGAGATAAATTCCTATTCTTTGCCAATACCTATAAAAACAAAGAACTTGTCAGGTTTTTGTATTCTACACTCAGCCCTCCCTGTGCATTTCCTGGCAGCTTTGGGTCCATCTAGGGGAGGGCACCCAGCATAACCCCTCCTCAATTCCCCCTCACCTGCTCCTCCACCGCAGCCTGGCTCTCTCCTAGGGACGTTGGGGTGCCCCAAATGACATCAGAGCCCCTGAGTCCCCATCCACCCCATCCCCCTCAGCCTTTTCTCCTCACCCCCAAAGAAGGCACAGAATGAATGGTATAAACACATGCAGAGGTGCAGCTCTGTATTTCCTTAAAGCAGCTCATTGTTTTCATAGAATACGGTGCAAGAAAACTAGTCAGAAGCAACAGGCATTACACCTGAGCTTCAATATACATATGTATATAAAAAAAAATTCTAGGATCACTCTTTCACTCACCAGGATGCCCTCAGGCATCTCCCTTGCAACATTCTACTATCGTAGAAGATGAATACCATGATTAAACCTTGTGACAGTACCAAATCAGGTCTGGCATCATGTGGTTAAGGGCCTCCACAGCAAAATCAAAAGCCACAGTAGTGCATGTTGTTCAGACTAGTCAGTGGTATTACACAAATGTGATGCTACCTACCCCTGTTTTCTCCTGGTAGCTTCAGCCTATCTTAATAGCTACCATCATCTTCATCGGTGTTGGGGTTTTAATTAGGGATTTTAACAGCATAAATCCAATTTTCCACTTTTACATTTGAAAACTTAAAAACAAGCCTCTAATTTTGAAGGGAACTAAGTCGTGTTAGTATTTTACATTCCTCTTCTCCAAGCAAAGTCTCCAGAGGGTGCAAGCTTGAGTATCTATGAATCTTTACAAAAAGCCTAGGTACTGTATTGTTCAATTAAACCTCCCCAACATAACACAAGCCAAACATTCAGATTCTGGGCAAAATACTCTCCTGCCAGTATCGACCCCCTAAATCAACCATGTCTAGAAAACTCTAGTTTACAAAGCATGCACCCTTGAAGGTAATTTCTACATTAATGAGCAGAATTATGCACAAAAAGAAAAAATTCAGAACACAATTGCATAGTAATGAATCATTCTTTTACAGCTGTCTTCAATATAAAATGAACATATTCTATAACCACCAAAATGTCAAATGAGAGTCACCTTTTGGAGCAATTTCACAGACATCCACATTTGGTATCTTTTAATACAACAATCCGCTAAGAAAAATGTTCCATGGAAAAATGATGGGTTGTATAAAACTAATATTCAAATTCAAGCTGGTTTGCAATACATCCTGTTCATCCCTTACCAGGGATGCAATCCAGAAACTACACTTTCTCCTAGCAATGTAAATTACTATGGCAAGACCAGCACAGAAAGCAGCATGAAGAAATCAAAGTTGCAAGATAAAGCTGCCGAAAAGCTAGAAAACCGGGATTTTTTCATTACACTGTCAGTACAACTTTTAACCCGGTGAATACCATCAACTTTTGTCAGCTCCCTCACGGCAGCCGCATTCCCGTCCTCAGCTCTCTTTCAGAAGCTGATGGGGAGCATTGCTTTCTTGGGCTGTATCTGAGTCCACAATCTCGCCGGAAATAACTGCTTCCAGTCGCTTGTCGATCTCCGTTTTTTCTCTGAACACACACCATAGTAAGAGGCCCGTGCCCAGCACACTAAGAGGCAGCACCTTCACCAAGGGCCTGTCGTGGTTGCTCCACATCGACCGGCTAACGCTCCAAAGCCGCGGACTGGCCTTGCTGCTGGAGAAGGGAATGTGCCCCTCGCCCTCCAGATCCGCGCCCGCCGCATCCTCCGGGTCCCGCCGAGGCCCGGGCAGACATGGGGCTCGCCGCGCCCTGCGAAGACACACAGGCTTGAGCGGCGCAAAGCGCTCACGTAGCGTCCCGGCCCCCGTCCTCACCGGCAGCGGTCACGGTCCGTCCCCGCCCCAGGCTCCGACAGTACCGGCAGCGGTCACGGTCCGGCGGTCCGGCGCCCCGGCCTCCCGGCCCTCTCCTCCGCCAGCGCCGCAGCGCCCCAATCATCCCGCGCCTTCCGTGAGCGGGAGCGGAAGTGCGAGGGTTCCCGCGGCCTGGGCCGCGGCTCGACGCGGCTGCCGCCGTGAGGGCAAGGCCGAAAGCCCCCTGGGCTGGGGGGGTCGCGAACCGCACAACAGGAGGTGGCACAGTGACCACAGAAGGCGTGCGTGGCGTTCAGCGACTGCTACAGTGATGCTTCCACAGTTTGTGTAGGACGAGTCCATTTTACTCCGTATTACGCACAAAGAATTGCCAGGTATTCCTTCAACACACCTTCATGCTTCTGTAACAATTCAGTTACATTTCACTGCACCTTTCTGTTAGATTGTGACCAACTTCTTTTAACCTGACAACCAAAGACGGCATCAGCCTTTGAACGTGAGTGGGTGGACTGCTGTGCTCTGCACTGCTGTGGCAGAAAACGTTTATTTTTCTGCTAAACTGTGCCCAGAAAACTTTTTAGCATATAGATGAAATAATATGTCCCTAGTATTGTATTTAGGACCTTTATTACGACATCTTTCAGCATTAGTCTTGAGCTGGCTTGTATTTACTCCAACTTCTACCACACTTGATCAATGAAAATAGCAAAAGCTGGGACTAGACACACAGAATCTGTAAATTCGTGCCAAATACTGGTCTTAGCAAATCAGTGTTACAAATCTTGGCAGAAACTAGCCAGCTATTCTCATAATGGCGTGCCCTCACTCCACTGCACTGTTTTAGGGCAGAAATTGAAAAAGTCAAGAATACTCACAAGAAGGTAAATCATCTTTTTTGCATAATACACGTTGAATTTAATTTATATTCTGTACCACCCAAGTTTCTTCATACAGTGTAATTCCAAATTCTTGTATTGCCATGCAGATGCTTATCATCCTTTGACCCATTAAGAACTGATGCCATCGATGCAGATGCCAGTTGGTGACTTACATACTCAACACCGGTATTTCCAGCTGTAAAATTTAGTTTTTTAATAAGACAACAGTTATTTTGGCTTTTAAATAGCAAAACATTTTTGTCACAGAACTCACGAAATAATTTTGAAATAAATCATCTAGATTAAACTGAATTCTGCTTTTGATTATACACTGCTAATGTGCAATAATTAAAAGAACTATGCAATAATGGAAGAACAACCAAACAGGCAGAAATACTGTGCAAATTACATTCTTAATGGTTTAAATGTGCAGACATGTTCTACGAAATTTTTATATGAGGTTTTTTCCTAGAAAAATTTTTCAAATCAAAAAGAAAACATTAACTGTGTCACTACTTTTAAGCTAATTTAATTAGGTCAAAGGTTCTTTGTTTTGTTAAAATGCCAATTCTGAACATACAACCTGTAAAATAAAAGATATATGTATTTATGACTATACACGTATGCCCGGACATTAAATTCTCCTTTGACAAATAGTTCATGTAATAAAGGGCTTGATGGTCTGGAAGGAATGCAGGAAAACAAACAAACAAACAGAAAACTAACCTACAAACCCCTCCAAAAAAAAAAAAAAAAAAAAAAAAAAAAAGAAAAAAAAAAGAAAAAAAAGAAACAACTTGTCTGGAATTAATCCAGATAAGCCGTGCCCCTTCATGGGTAGCACCAGTCTCTCCTTCTAAAAACTGCATGTGATACGGTACTTACCTAACAGAAATCAAAGAGAGGGGAAAAAAAACCAGGCAACTTCAAAAAGGGGAAAAACTAATCCAAAAAGATATAGATAAAACTTCAAGTGTTACGAAAGAAATCAGGCCTCATGGTTAAAATACAGAAAGTGGAGTTACTTAAAAGACACATTTGTGCTATTAATGATGTGATATAGATTTCCTTTTAAGTTGGCACCTTAAGGACTGTAGACAAGCTTCAGTTACAACGGCTGTCAAAATTTTTCTATAAAGCTAGAATTTCAAGTCATCAACAGATTTTTTGAGGACAAAGTAAGTCCTTGTGCACAGGAATCAAAACCTAAGTACTTATCTAAAACTTTGTCTAGTGAATTTTACCGTCATATTTTATGCCAGATTATTTAACTGTTGCTGTAATTGAAAACAACATTGGGGTACTAACATTCTGAGCTGACAACAATGGAAAAGAATGATACCAAAAAATCTCACCAGAATTTCCTTTGTATGCAATACCATGCTGACCTAATAAAACTCTAAGTTTCTTTATTTCTTCAGAAAGTTGCTTGTATTCCTAAGAAAGAAAACACATTAAAAATAGTTCTCCCACTTTTCAAATATGTACCTAAATTGGAACCTTTTAAGAAAAAAATGCCTCCGTGCACAGCTGTTACACCTTTTGACTTTAAGGATCTTAAAATGCTTGTTCCAAGAACACAGACCAAATTTTAGAAAAAGATACATGTCTGAGTTGCCAAAAGAGGAGCCAGCTTTTTTCAAGTCCAAGAGTAAAATTTAGGAATGTTTTCTGGAACTATTTCAAATCTGTCCTGCAACTAGCATTTTATCGTAGAACAAAATCTTAAGTTTGCTTCAGGACTACCCTTATTTTATAATTATCATAATTCTGCAGTCTGGAAATTTGTCAGCTTCTCAACTCTTGACCTAGCAACTTCATGTTCTTGCTTCTCAGCAATTTCTGTTAACTAACAGACAGGGATTGCTGAGTTCTTTTGAGACTCAAAGCACATACCTGAAATCTCAGAGAAGCCCCTATTTTATTTTTTTTTTTGTGTGTGTTTTGGTGTTTACATAAATAAAGATAGAGCAAAAGAATAAGTATTTAAGATTCTTTGATTACCAAACCAGCCAATTTATGTCAATTAAGCTATGATGAAGCCAGAAAAAGTAGAAATTATTAAATACTGTATTGTTAATGAGTGAAAAAAAAAAACCACATAACTGTTCTAGCTCCTATGAGATCAAAATGGTGATCTTTATATTAAAGTATATTCAGCTTAGCCATGGTTTTATTTGGTTATATTCATGAATTACTACATGGTGTTTTGTCTTTGCTACATTTTTCAAATAAAAAGACAACAGCAACTGCTACTCTGAATTATAATGAATGAACTCCTTTCCATGCTCTTTTTCTGACAGTCAGGTTGCACTCTTTTAGGCCGAGCACACCTTCTACCTCTATTTTCTCCATTCCAGTTCTGTTGCAGAAGAACTGTTGACATACACAAGAGTCATTCAAAAATAAATACAGCCATTCTGCCTATTGCTTGTGCAACAGCCAATACATTCTTACACAAGTCTGGGTAATTATCCAGAGAGAGAACTGTCAACATTCTCGAGGTTGCTTACACATTTACCTTCACTAGTAATTCCATCCTGTCTCCCAACTGATATTCCCCAGGAGTACCTACAAGGTACATAACCCAAGCGCATACACTAATTCCTTCATAACCCCCATCTTCTTACTGGGCATTCATTTTTGCTGGTTTGTTTTTGACTTAGGGGCTATAATAAAAATACCAAATCACACTATATGCAGGCTGTTACATATGGAAACCAGAAAAGATAACCCCATGAAGAGATTCAGCTGAATACCAAGGGAGTTTACATAATGCTATCCCACTGATATTGTCATACATTAAAAAGGTGGCAATTCCACATTGTAAATATTATGCTCTATACCTTACTGCATTTTTCCACTGTTTCAAATTCCAGAGTTATTTTCTTACTATGTTTTTCAACTTCATTTTCTTCTGTTGCTTTTAGAAGTCCTGCTTCCTCAAAAATCTCTTTCAGAATTTTTTTGTAACCCTAAAAAAGAAAGTTTCCAAAATGTCATAGATCAATCTATTCAACTCTTATCTCTGCTTGCAATTTGTACTGGCCGTTCCAAGTCCTCAAGCTTCATTACCAGTTCATATAGTAGTTACAGAACATGAAAATTACTATTTGCCAACTGCAGAATAAATGCACCTACTCCGAAAGGAGAAACTACAGAAGCCAAGTTTGGCTATTTGACAGTAACGTTTTTATCAAATAGAGTTGGCAAAAACTAATAAACCTGGTCAGTTATTAGTCCATCGTACAGAAGCTGCTCTGCTTCATCCCACTTCCTTTGCAGTGCTTCAGACAGAGTTGGATAAACTGAAAAATGGAAGTAAAACCATATAAACATCAAGAGCACTGTCCTGCCTTAGTTAATTCCTCCTCTAGTATCATGCAAGAATATCTGTTCTAAGAACTCAGTATTTCTATACAGTACACAGTCTCTACTGCTTTCAAGAGCTTGCCTTACACTTAAATTGTGCTTCACACATTTAAAGTGTCTGGAGAATGACTAGAAATTTTTCTTGTTTCGAGATACAAGGCCTCGTATTCCTTTGCTCAGTGTAACTCCAACTGAGCTTTTTTGTAATGTAAGTAAATGGGCAGATATGACAGGGCTTATTCCTACCGTTTGAGAAAAGAAAAAAAAAAGCCAAAAAACATTCACTGGGTCTACACTAGCAGTGACAATTTATTTGAAAAATACCTGTGTGTTATATTGACTGGGATTTAAAAAACACTTCATATTATATGTTAACATTTCATACCAATTTATATTAAGGTACTAACTCAACCTAGAAATGGACATTCTGAGGATAGCGTAATATGCCAGCTGTTCCACAAAGTATTTTTTAAATCTTACCTAAAAGTGAGTGGGGATGGCACACAAGAGGAGTCTCAAATGTCAGAGAGTAAACACAAGTACTTGGCTCAGACACATAAGCCAATTTATTGCTCTTTCCACAAACAAGATGAACCTAAACATCAGTAAAAACAAAGATGAGCAAAAAAGTCTATGTGAAACAATACCATCACTGATGTTCAATCTGCTGTGTTCCAATACCAGTAGATGCATTGCTCTACATACTGTCATGTCAAAGCTTCCAGCGCCTTTTTTTTTTCTTCCGACAGAAAAAACATCGTAACAAGGACATTATCCATTTATTTTATCAAATGTGAAAATTGTTTTCTTTAACGGGAAATTATTCTCCCCACCAACCACTGTTCCTTGGACTACTAAGCACCCTATTTCCAGCAATAATGACAGTAAAAAGGATGGTGAATAGGACACCCTTTAGAATCTCATCTAACATAAGCACGGTTTTCTTAAATTTTATTTCTGACTAATGTGCTAACTTAAGAATACAAGACACATCCAGACTGCAGAGAATTGTTTTCACCTTTAGATTTGCAGCACCAATATTTTCTGTCTTCAAAATGAAATACTAGTGTAAGATTTAAATCACAATACCAAAGATCATACAGGAATATAATTTCCTTCTGCAGCTTCTATGGGAAATAAAGATATTAAGCAGGCACCTCCATTAGAGTATAACGTTTTCACCTTGGCCAGGATATGGCAGCCAAGTTGGCAGCTAATCACAAGAGATTCAACAAGGCAAAGCACTGCACCTGGCTCATGACAACCCCATGCACTGCTCCAAGCTTGGGTAAGAATAGCTGGAAAGCTGCCTGGTGGAAAAAGACCTGGGGATGCTGGTTGACAGGCACTACTCATCAGGCTTGTGCTCCAGACCCTTCCACAGCTCCAGTGCCCTTCTTCAAACATGCTCCATCACTTCAAAGTCCTGCTTGAAATGCCCCTAGTGCTTGCTCTAACACCATGCTTAGCTTCTCAGGATGCTATTGTTACCTGCCTAATTAATTTCCCTCCTTTTTCCTGGATGTTTTTAATAGGCTGGCATCTTGATTTCAACAAAGAGCTCTTTTTCTTTATTTTGCCTGACACTAATTACAAAGCACTGTATTGTATTTCTACAGTAGTAATTATACCACTCTATCAAGGAAAAAGAGTTGTAAGTAACAGACAAGAAAACCTAAGTAAATGTCTTCTAAATTTTATCCTGATTCTAGCTTTCCTCCTCCAGTCATTCACACAGTTTCTGCAGGAATTCATCTTTCTGTTTTCTATCACAGCTTAAATTATGACTTCTTCAGGGTAGGAATATTTCAGTTTGTAGTCTTCCAAGTGTATGCAGAATCATGCTGTCTGAATTAGCATAGTCTACCGCTATTATACCTTTGTCTGTCTGCTCTTGGTTTCACAGGAGTCTCCTTCCCTCATCCACATTCCAATAAATGTGTTGTTGTCAATTTCCCATTCATGCCAGATTCTGAAAAAAAGAGGACACGATTTTGTTTTAAGTTACTGGGCAGAAAAATGTGAACCCTCAGGAAGAAGACCAACAATACCCTTAATACCATGTTCAATTTAAGTGTATGTACTTCATTTTTGTTGTCTTAGTATTTCCATTTCCTATAGCCAACACCTTGGAAGCAGTGTAGTTTGTTATCCAGGATGCCATATAGGGCACTTCAATAGCACTTTTTGAGAGCAGAGTTTTGGATAAAATTTCAGTTTGCAAACTATTTGCACTTAGAAATCTGTGTTTAAGTCCAGTAACGTACAGTTTATAGATCGATCCCACAACAAATTCCATGAGGCTAAGTACCATATGCAACTCAGTTTGATTGCAGGATTTTTAGTGCTGGTGGAAGCATCTACAGAAACTACTGGTAGCTGTCTACTTCTGCTAGTCCTAAAGCAAATGATACCCTCAGCATGGTGATGTACCAGTTTCCTCACATACTGGCTTACCATTTTGCACATAGGAAAAAAAAGAGGCATCTATATACAAAATATATAGAAAAGCAATGGTCTGATTTATACTTAGATTTATTTTAGGTATTATGATTTGGCAATATTATGATCCAGGGTCTTTAACAACTTTGGGATACTTTTTTTGGGGTGTACATTATGTTTAACAACCATTAGGCATGAAGCACTCTTTTAATTTTGTAATTTTTGTATTTAACTAAAACTGCAAATAGTTACTGGACATGAAATCTGTGCTAATATAAGCTGTATTTAGACACTATTGAATTTCTCACATGAACATATCATACTTGCAGTTGTCATTGGTTATTAATCAGTCTCCAGCTAAAAGACGAGGTTAGTATTAATCAACAAAAAACTAATCTGAATTTTTCAAGACAGAATATTTTTACGTATAACGCCTTGGGAACTAACATGACATAAGCTGACCAATGGAAGAATCTTATTTTTAAAACTGTCTCCTTTTTGCAATCTATGAAATGGCCTGCTGACAACATAGCTAAAACGTAAAAGGTCTAAATGCCTCACCCTAAAATCCCACTATAGGCATTCCATCGAAAAGTCTGCTCATGCTGAGTGACATTATGGAATGGACAGAACTCATACTTGTACCTTAAAATGAGAGAAAAGAAACAGAAAATAAGAAAGGTTTCAGACTGGAATAAAAAAAATCTATTTAATTCCTAGTAAGTATATAAACAAATATCCAAATCCATTACTCACGTGGATTCCATAAAACTGAAACACTTGCCAGCAAGCCTAAAGAGATGTGCAGGGCCTAAAAACATCACAACATGACATAAAGGAAAAATAATGTTTTGGTTAAATTTAAGCAAGCTACTGTGGTGACAAAAGTGCAAGGAGTATGTGACAAATTTAGTTTCCTGCTGTACATAAGGAAATTTTTATCTTCCATAAGAATTACTGTAAGTTCTCACTAGCACTATACTGGTTTGCGTCATGATCTTTAACGTTTTTCATTCTCACTACCCAGTGAGATAGATAAGCCTCTTTCAACAACAAAAATGAGAAGCCTGTGTAAAAAATTAACATTTGGAGGCCGGGTCCATAATAGGAATCATCAGTGCAGATCCTGCCACAATCTAACACTGAAATCACTGAAACTCTTGCTTGGCAGCTGTCTCCAAATTCATCTAAACTCTCCAAGTTTATACTAGTAAAGCCCACTTGTTCAAAATATTGACAGTGCTGCATAGTTAAGGTTCACTGGGATTCTCTAACTGGATAATCCTTTTCACTGTTTGCCTTCACAGTCTGCTCCAGGTAATATTTAACAAGATAAACTTTTTGCCGTCAGACAGGTTAGCAGTTGCAATTCTATTCTTGTATTATTGATTACAAGGCTTGCTGTTAAAGGAATCCAAGATAGGTAACTTTTCATTAAAAAAAGGGTGAAAAGTTCTGAATGCTAGAGGAGTATTTCAGTATCTCTTGTGTAAGGAAATTTTCCTTGGAATTACTAAATATTTATGAGGAAAGAAGAAAGGAGATTACAAAGCATATAAAGTAAAACCCCATCCTGGATTCTATTTCCCCACTGTCAGGATTGTGAGGGTACTTTTTCCAGGTATCTAGACAAGCAATCTTACAAAGGTCAGACTATCAGAATCATGCCCTCCATAATGCTTTAACCACTGGGATACAGGCAGGTTCTCTTTCCCAAGTATTCTTCTGACTGTATGATCTTGCATTTCATTCTAGAGATGGGCTAGGCCAAAGGGTTTGCTCCTCTACTACATGAAATCTGTGCCCCGGTGATTAGGATGCTCTCCCCGCAGATGAAAAGAAGCAAATGTGAGAAACGCATGAAATTCGTGTCTCCCTTTCCAGGGCAGATGCTGTAGAAATTACCAGAACTATTACGCCAACTGTTTTGTAGAAGAAAAGAACAAGTACGGTTTTCATGCTAAAGAAGTACTTGTGCAAGGCAAGGTTCCATGCCCTAGGTTCGCATTCCATATAAACTTCCAATTTTTGGCTACATGTAAGATCCTACAACATAGAAAAAGGGATTTCTGGTGTTCTGTCCTTTTTTCCTGCTACATTTGGCATCTTTCCATCCTGCATCTTATGACTAATCCCATTTCTATTTCACGTTTCACATGCACTTATACACATTATACACTTGTTATGAGTTTATAAAACATGAAAGAAAACATTAAGCATAATCACATTCAGTGTCGTCATACCAAAATGCCTTTCTTGAATCTGAACAAGGTTTAAGTCTGTGCCTAAGGTTAGCAGAGAGAAAAGATTCACTCCCTTTTGTTTAGTCTTTGCCTACAGTGTTTATCTGCTCCCCTCTATAGATGGCCTAGAATTTTTTACATTCCTGTTTATTTTGCATAAGTGGTGTATTTATGTTGCAACATCTAGGCTGTGTGTGAAACTGAGCCCCTCTGACTGGTTCCAAAAGTACTTTTAGGACTTTTTTTTAAACTATTTTTGGGTATTAAGCACTACCAGATGATGGGACGACTTTTATATGATAATCTCAATGACACTGAGGACTGTGTCAAGAAGAAAAGAGTATTTACTGTGGAATAAAATCAAAATCTGTGACAGGCTAGGAAAGCACAGAATAAAACACATGGATAGTTCTGTCACAAAAACAGCCCTAACAGCACTGGGACCTGGAACCACCACTGAAATTAATCTAGGTGCTTATTTTCCAGGATGCCTATAAAATCTCACGCAAAATTTGGTTCTGTGTGTGTAAAGTAGAAATAGACTATCTGCCCTGCAAACAAGTGCTGCTAAATGATGAAAACTGGAGGAAAAAAAAAAAAAAAAAAAAAAAAAAAAAGTAACGGTTGCATATACCTGATACTGCAGACGGGGACATCTTTGGCTGTAGCCTATTTGTTTGAGGCAAGAATGGGTTATTCAACCTTTCAAAAGAAGGAAAATCAAACGTTTAAGGCTGAGTTATGCATCTGGCCGTGCCTACATCCTCCCCTACCTGTGTGTTTCAACACCGACAGCCGCTGCCCGCGGGCCAACAGAGGGGTCTGCGGCAGCAGCCCGGCTCGGCGCCCCATTCCCGGAGGAAGGAACGGGCTGGAGCGGGCACAACGGCACAGAGACCCGAACCCGCCGAGGGCGGGCGGATCGCGGGACGACACGGCGAGCAGGCGGCCACGTACCCGAACGTATTCGGCTCCTCCACGATCTTCATCTTCCCCGCCGAGGCGAAGAGACCTATTAGGAGAGAGCAGTTGGGCGCGGCGGATGGACCAAGCCGCTGGCGCACCCATCCCCGCCGCGGCCCCCGCACCTACCCAGCGCCGCGCTCAGCGCCGCCAGCAGCAGCCGGGCCGCCATCACCTGTTCCGCGGGAAGCGGAAGCGCGCGACGCCGCGGGGCGGAGTCTCCGCCGAGCGCGGCCATGGAACGCGGCCGGCGCGGGGGCCGGCGCGGGGCTCGCAGCCTCGAGACTTTCGCGGCGGAAGCGGAGGCCGCGCTGAGAGGTGCGTGAGGCGCCACGGGACGCGGGCAGGGACAGGCGGGTTCTGCCGGGCAGCGCCGCGTCGCCGCTGGGCATTGATGTACACCTGCTGTTTTCAGCTTGCCTGGAGAGCGAGAGGGCCGCGGATGGGGACGCTCGGGAGGCCAGATTCCCCTGCCCCCTTGCCATGTGGGAGCTCGGACACTGCGATCCCAAGAAATGCACCGGGAGAAAACTAGCGCGGAAGGGGTTGCTGCGAACACTGCGCCTCCGCCAGAGATTCCCGGGCGTCGTCCTGAGTCCGCTGGCCACGGAGTACGTCTCTCCCGCTGACAGGTGGGGGGCCCCGGCGCCTGTTGGCAAAACCGGGGCGGCGGGGGAAGGCGGGGAGGCGCCGACTGTGGGGGAAAGCATTTGGTTCAAGTACCGTCCTGATGCTGTATTAGGGAGAGCATTTGAACCACTGCCTCATGGCCAAAACTCACACGGAATAAAATTGACCTTCTTAGTACGTTACTCTGATGCATGAACACGAGAAACAGCCGTTTTATTAAATCAGCGTAACATTTTTACACAGCTGGTATCAGATGAGAAAATCATCTGTAGATCTCACTGAAAAATCAAGGTGCACGTTTTGTAGGTTAATTTCTTCAGAACATGGGTCTGTAGCTACTGTGTCTTTTATCATGCCATATTTAAGTTCTTCGGTTAGACAACACAATGTATTGACCAGAAGACTTTTCGGGAAATGAGAATTTTCTTCGCATGTGCCTGCAGAATTTTTACAAAGATATACTTACTCAGAGAAAAGATTTGTCTCTAGAAGCAGAGATAAGCTAGCCGAGAACCTAAATCAGAACTTTTATGTACTTTAAGGTTTGATTGAATGTTACTATTAATCACACTCCTCTGTCACATTTTTAAACCTAGCATTATTCACTTTTCATTTTGAAATATACGGATAAACCTTTTTTTGCCATTTGCATATTTGGAGGAAAACCATGCTACTATTCTTTCTCATTACATCGCTATTATAGGCCCTTGTAAAGCCTGTGGGTTTTGATTGAGAAACAGGGGTTACATGCAAGTTTGTTGCTAGTATAAAGTGGCAGTTGGAATTCTCACTTCATCAGTATAATGGTGACAATTTTTCAAATACCGTGACTTTCTTTTTTTCAGGCGTGTCATTGCTCAGAGTGGGATTGCAGTCATAGATTGCTCATGGGCCAAATTAGAAGAAACTCCCTTTAAGAGAATGAGGGGGAGTCATCTGCGATTGCTGCCTTACTTAGTGGCTGCAAATCCTGTTAACTATGGTCGGCCGTGCAAGCTGTCCTGTGTGGAAGCTTTCGCTGCAGCATTTTGCATTGTCGGTAGGTTCAGTTTGTCTGATGTGAAGTATGTTGCTAGCAATTCCTACATCCTTAATAAATCAGAAGAGATGGTTTACGACAAAATAAATGCTGTCACACAGGTCATCACTTTCTTAACTTTGGGATCAGATTGTCTAGTTTTCTTCCAAGTATGTGTATCAGTGGCACTGAGGTAGCTGTGGAGGATTCATGTTAGCTACAAAACAGGACACAAACTGATAATTCTCATTCTGTCTGGATGGTGCGTAATGTTAGAAGACAGAGCATGAATCAATCCTTAGGCACCTTTGCCGGGCTTATAGGGCAAGGTCTGGGTAAGAACAAAAGAAGCTGCCCCCCCTCTTGTTGTAATGGTTTGCAGACACAGAACTTTGGTAAGAGAAATGCTCTACCATACTGCAGACAAATCTTGTCTTGTGAAAATACTGTATGTACAACTGGTCTTGTACTAAGGGGCTGTGGGCTCTAGAGCTTGAATCATTCATTACCCGTACAAATTATTTTTATGTAACACTTGCTAAAAGGCTATGAACTATTCTTGGATTCAGTTCCATGTTTCAAGTTAAACTGAAATTTGAAAATATTTGCAGTCTTTCCAAAAGTTTTAATCCCCTTACACTGAATGAAACACTGGCAAACATCTTTCTATTGAATTGACATGTATGCACATACTGAACTAGAAACACGTAAGCTGAGTGAAATCTCACACTAAAGAAGAAAACTGATAATTTATTTTGTTTCAGGATTCCCAGATCTAGCCACCATTCTTCTAAGGAAATTTAAATGGGGTAAGACATTTATTGACCTGAACAAAAATCTCTTGGAAAAATACGCAGCCTGTCATTGCCAGGACGATGTGCTAAGCATTGAGAAGGACTTTCTAGCCTGTGTCCAAGAAAAAAAAGGCGAAGAAGTAGGTAAGAGAAAAACACAGAAACACTACACATACCCTTTTTCTTACTAGTTTCTTCACAGTCTTTTCCTTAAATCTCATGAAAATAATTAGCAAGGTGGGAGGTAAGTGCTTTGCTGATATGTGCTGTTCTGTTTTTATCCTGTGCTAAGTGTGCCTGTTTGACCTTTTTTCCCCCAAGTAAAATAGGTGAAAATGACTGAAGCAATTTAATGCAGAGAGTAGTGTATTCAGGGCTGAACTGTGAAGCAGTTTACCCCTATTCAACTAACCCAACTGGAAAACTTGGGAGCAAAATACGATGCTTCCTTGTTTTATATACAGATGTTAAAAGCAGATTATGAGTAAAAAGACTAGGAATTGAGAATTAACTGTAAGAGAAATATAGGCATACAGTCAGACAGCAAGTTAGTTATAGACATACAGTCCTCAATAAAGATGTTTAAAATGAGACCCATAATCAAAATAATTCATAAGTAGTTTATTCCCAAACTCTTCCAGTAATTTATTGTTATCCCAGTATTTCATGCTGTATTCACAGGTGAGTGCTTGGTCTCATTCAAGAAGGCGCAAAGAAAGGCAAATAATCAAGAACGTATGAAGAGATTATCCTAATTAACATTTTCCTTTCAGGGTGATTAAGCCCTGTAAACTAGGCCAGGGGCTCACACTGTAAGAAAATGCTTTTTTCACCTTCTGCAGTTTTTCCTTCTTTTTCCAGATCCATTTGACGTTGACTTAGAAAAAGAATTTTCTAATCCCAACAGGCCAGTCAATTCCTCTGGGTAATGAAATTTAATTTATATACTAGTTCTACTTACTATGAGTTATTTTGCTCTTAAAATTTTGAAAAATGTTTCCAGTCTAGCACAAAGCAAGGAAGACTCTGAGGAGGACAACATGAGCAATCCAGATGATGCCACTGAAAGCAGTGAAAGCACTGATGAGAGCAGTCAAGATGAAATAAACCCCCCCAGTAATCCCACGGAGTTGTAATACCTCGTATAAAGAAATTTTCTTGTGAATACTTGAGTGCGTCCTGTTCATCTGTAACTTGGTGCTTAGCAAATCTCAGTCTCGGTGCAGGTTTGTAGGTCTTTTTATGCACAAGGGCTCTGGGTTATTTAATTTTTAGGTAAGTATGGAATGTTAAATTATTTTGTAAGGAGTTTGAAGCTTAGTTACAAGTTAAAAAATAACCCTGTATTCTAATCAACGTGTTTGGAAAGAGGTTCATAGGGGATTATTTTTAACTAATAGTATATTAGGTAAACTTTCTTAACTTCTGGTCTATATTTCAACAGGAAAACATGACTAAGCTATTGACCTATTCATAGGCACAACATACCACATAGGGAGTCTGACTTTTTGCAGGCTTGAACCTGCAAAACTACTTCATCTATTTTGAATAAACTGAGTTAAGCTCGAAAGGAAAAAAATGCTTCTTGGAATTGCTTTAACATCTCAGTATGTCTTTTCAGAACTTTTAATTGCTCGCTTTATTTACTCTTATACATTCCTAAGCAATACCAGTGTTTTGGCGCTTTGTATTCAGAACTGTACTGTGAAATTTCAGATCACAGGTTCATCAGTGCTATCTCTGTATATTTTCATCACTCAAAGCAGCACTGTACCAAGTCAGAAATACACATTATCTGGCCCTTAAAGCTTTATGACAGACTTGCAATAGCACTGGTATCTTAGGTCACTTTCTCCTATGCCTCCCAGTTTGTATACTGAAAATAAGCTGTTAGCGGTTGTTTTCTATATATTTAAACAGAATACTCTTTGGAGTTTCAAGCAGCCAACAGAAACCTAAACTTTAGCAATCCTTCAGTAGAATTGGAGATACTAAGGAGAATTTGTAGACTCGCCTTCACAAATCGAAGTTCTTCACGTCACAGGACCATCTCGTCCCTCGACCATCTCGTCCCTCCACTACTAGAGGGATTAAATACTAGTGCTACTGGAGCTAGAGCTGGGAATAACAGCAGCAGTTTGAGTGGTACAAATACTCAATTTCCCTTTTGAAAACAAGAAGCACAAGTAAATTAATTCTACAAGGAGACTTTTCCTCTGATTCAGTTTTTTCAGTAACTTCCCCACACATATGAAGTCTTTACCAAATGTACTGTTTTAGCAAGGATTTCTTAGATAGTGACAAGAAAGCAATTCAGCATAATTTTTAAAGGACTGAGAACAATGTGAGCATGTCAGCTATTCTAATTTGTGGGGGATGCTTTTACATTCTAAAGCTATAGTAATCAAATGCAGACAAGCAAAACAGACCTGGGAACAGCTGTAAAACTTAAATTAGCTTAAGTGTTGAGCAGTAGCTATTTTTTTAATAAAAACACTGAAGAAGCTAAGCTCAGATGGAACAAAGCCTTTCACATTTTTTTTTGTTTTGCAGAATAATTTTGACTTAAAAAAAATACAATTAAAAAAGCAGTGAAAGTTTAATAAAGGGCGTTACCAGCTTGACATACATGAAAATGACTTACATAACTGAACAGATCTCCTTTACAGAAGGAAACGGTAATTGCATAGAGCATGTTGCTTTCCCTAGAAGCTATATGCATTAACATACGGAAAAAGGCACA